AGCTGTTTATTCACGATTTTCTCCCTTAACAATTTATAAAACTCCTTTTCATTTTATTATCTCCAGAACCAAGCATATTGAAATTGTCCACAATCATATGGGCAATTTAAAGAAATTTACCCATGTATGGAGGGTCTTGACAAACAACTTTTTTTTTTTTTTTGGCCTGCAGGGCGATGAGTCTCCAATAAAAACTAAAAAACCTACAGGCACTTCAAACAACTTTTAAAAAGTTCCTCAGGGGATTCATTATACACAATCAACAGCTAACATACTATACATTAAACACTCACCACAGGCCAGGTACTGAGCTCAACCATTTGTGTTCACCCTCTCGCTCAATTTCCTTTTTGACGCCTTACTGTCACCCCAAGGGGAGCAGTTTCCTCTCCTTGACTGGTTCTGAAATGTGACCCTGGTTAAGAACCATTGCCTGGCACAGAGCAGGCACTCCAAAAATGTCTGAGGGGTAGAGTCTGGGTAACTTGCTAAAGGAAAACAAGGAGTCATTTTGAAGGTTTTTTAAAGACTGACAGATTAGTGAATTCTAGAATTATAAAAATAAGCGGCAAACAGAAAATGATGACATTAATAGCCAAATCTAAAAGCTGGTTCCCCTTAAACACTAGCCAAACAGAAAAACCTCTGAAAAATCGAGTTAAAACTGAAAAAAACAAGCGAATTTAAAGATAAGGGAATAAGCAAACTAGTGAAATACAGCAGTAGCATGTTAAGAAATGTGAAAAATCTTAATGAATAATTTTTAATTCTAAATTATCAACGTTGACATAAAAAAGTAGAAACCTTAATAACCGAGGAGAAAACAGAACACTGTTTCCAAATCATCCTCTCTATACAAATACTGGCTCTAAATATTTTATAAGTTGTTTTAAAAGACAGAAAAAAATAAAAAGTAACTTAAAAGCCTACAAATTAAGGGTAAGCATGACACCAAAAGTTGTCGAAGATCTCTCTTTCCCTGAGGGCTACTTTACTTAAGGATACAGATATAAAGAATGTTTTAAAATTGTTTTCAAAACATTATCTACTATAACCAATGGGATTTTATCTGAATATTACTTATAATAGTAAGAATTGTAATAAACAACCCAAATGTCTTATGAGGACTGGTTAACAAATTTTGGTACATTCATGCAAAACAATATAATACAACCATTAAAAGTGATAAAAAGAAAAAAGAAAAATCCTCATAAAAACTCTATGAAATTTAAAATACTGTAATTGAAAATGTTTAAGGGGAAAATATACACAGGTAGGAAAAAAAAAGAAATTCATCAAAAAAATAGAGGCGTTAAAGAGGAGGTAACAAATGACTTTCTTCTATGAAAAAGTTTATATTATATATATACTCACATACTTTATAAGATATATTTTAATAAAATAAAAGTAGTACCAGACATAGAAAAGTCAGGAAAAGAATCATATTTTGGAGGATTTAGTCCCCTAATTTCTTTTTATACTCACCCTAAGACATGCTTAAAGAGAAAGGAAGGAAGAGAAAGGGTGGGGGAGAAACATCAATGTAAGACAAACACTGATCAGTTGCCTCTAGCATGTGCCCTGACTGGGGACCAAAGCTGCAGCCTAGGCAGGCGCCCTGACTGGGCACAGAACATGCAACCTTTCAGTTTATGGGATGACACTTCACACCAGCCAGGGCAAGAATCGTTATTTTTAAAATAGGTCTTAGAGGAACAGGTTTTGACATCTTAACATTTTCTTAAAGGCAAAATTTCTTAAAACTGTTCTGTGAAAGTCATGTTGTTTCACACAATTATTTTACCAAATAACTAGGGTCCCTACAAATAGAAAAGTATCTTTTTTGCCATGTAAGGAGCAGAAAATGCAGAAAGTGTAAAATTGCTGCTTGGGGCTAAATAGTTATGAATGTTTACTCATATGATACCCACTTACCACGTGTGTGCTTTGGAGCAAGCAATGAAAGGAGTTACATGGCCCTGCCATAAAAAAAACTGAAAGTCCAGCCGAGAGATGGACAGGTAAACACATCACTCCGTATGACATAAGAGCAGTACTATGACAACTGTGCACAAGTGCTATGAGAATACACAAGGAGGGACACCTGACCTTACCCAGGGTAAGGAGTGTGCAAGCTGAGGCTTAAAGACCAGCTCCAGTCAGCTGAGGAAGAGGCTGAGACAAGGGACTTCCATACAGAGGGCGCTTGAACATCCCAGACTGAAAATATCCTGACCAAGGTCAGCAAGCGGCTTGGCTTCCCCTGGTGACCCAGGAACACAATGTCTGAGTTCAGGCGATCCAAGCCAGCTTTTTCTGGGTCTGTTCATTCTGAGGATCTAACCACAGAGCTCTTGGGATCTGGAATCAACAGAGACCAGGCCCAATCTCTCTCTACTTCCTCCCCGTCAAGGTAGAACAGCAAGAAACCTGGTTTCCACATGCAGTTTTTTTCTTTTAAACTTTCCCCATTTCTTACTGTTCTGGTGGCTTCAACTTTAAGAATGGGAAACACTTTTTTTTTTTATTCCTAATTAAACATGTAGTACGCTTATAAGGAAGAAAAGAATGCACAGTGTTCACATAGATATAGCTACTAATGATCCTACAGACCTAAGGATTTTCAGGGTACCCCCCTCACCCATCTCAGCTCCCACTTCCCTCCCACTGAAGGCCACTTCAGGTATTTGTAGCCAAGCCCTAGGGGAAGACCACACCTAACAAAACACCACCCCAAGGGAACTACGACTCAAACTCTTGCTCCAACACTTCATTATTCACAACACAATATTTATTCTCAACACAACAATATTTACAACTAATATTTATTCTCAACACAATATTTAAAACTAAGAAGAAACTGTACTAGCTCCCTGCTCAAAAACACTGGCTCAATGTACAAGGCTCCTTGCTGCTCCCTGAACACACCGCACATCCTGCTCTTTCCAGAGAGCTCTTTCCCAGACTTCCTTCAAGTCTGCTCATACATCACCAACAAGCATAAGGCTTACTCTAGCCACCCTGTCTACAACTGCCCTCATACCACAGTCCCCCACGTCCCTGACTCTATCCTCCCTACCTTTCGGTTTTAATTATTTTTCTGAGGTACTGTCACCTTCTAGGGTGTAATTTTTGTTTACTCCATCTACAATGTAAGCTCCATAAAAGCAGAAATCTTTATAAATTTTGTTTGCTAGTGTATCCCAGCCACCTAGAAAAATGTTTTAATACATCATAAGGGTTCAGTGACTATCTGCTGAATGAATACATGACGGAAGAATCAATGGGTTACCAAGGCCAAAAGAAAGAAGTCCGAACTCCCTTCTGTTTTCATCTACCCATTGCATACTACCCACACCCACTGTCGTACATGATGTTTTCATGAAAACGCTCCTCATCTTCTTGTCTTCCAACCCCCCTGACCCACAGTCAGTCAGCTCTGTCCTTATCCCCATCAATGTCACCTGCTTAGACTCTGCTTGGAATCCAAGATGTCTCCACTGACTTTCCAGTAAGAATTTCCTCCTCCCTCTCTGTATTCACATCAGCTTCTGGACCTCTGCAACAACACCTGACACCATCTTTCTTGTCCTCTACTTCTGAATGAGGCTGTCTTCCCCCACTAATTCATTTCCTAGATAGGTAGTCACATGACTCAATTACTCATCTCCTGCATTCTAGAGGGCCAAGCTCAGGGAAAGGGAACCAATGATAAAGAGAAATTTCTGCCTAAAAAGCCCCTGTTGTGTTCTGTCCTTAAGCCTGAGTTAGGTAAACCAAAGAGATCTACAGGGCCGTTCCATGAGAATAGCATAAGTGAGCCGGTGTGCTTGGGAAACATAACTTTTAAAGCGAAGCTTAAAGCAGTCCTTAAAACGCACTGCTCAGAACACAAATTCACTTTCACCATTTAAAAGGCAACCCACCTCTGCGGAAAGGATCGACACCTCCATGAGGTGCTAAGTCATCCTAATGCCACACAGCCTACTGAGACAAAACTTTGTATAGAAAGGTGCTGATGACAGTGTGTTGCTGTGGCTAACCTCAAACCAAATAACTATCTCACTTTAGTATTGTTACTCGGCTTACTCCTTAAGTCTTACTCCTGTAAGCAAAAAACATATAACAGGAAGTAAAAGATATAAAGGCACTTTATATCATTTTATATGGTGTGTGTTTAATTTACTGTAAACTGCTTTTAAAGGATTTACTAATCCTTTACTAATTGGTATTTTTATCTAGATTAATTTTGTCACACACATAACAATTAGAATACGATTTTTCCTTAATTCTAAAGAGAGTATGGATTAAAATACTTTCTGGATCTTGTTATATTTTTACCAATATACTCTATGTAAATCAGTGGACAAACTCAGAGTTGTGATGCTTCTAGAAAACACCTCCTCCATCACAAGAATAAATAGGTTCACAATCAGCTTCATATTAATTACACTGAAGACTGGACATCTGGGGGTATGCAATATTATACCTTTGTTTAAGCAGAAAATGACGTTAAAACCTATTTTACAAGTCTTCCTTGGTTCCTGCCCTTGCCCAAGTAAGCCCATCTCCAGCCTCTTCCTTGGCAAATGCAGACCAGGCTCCTTAGGACTTTTAAGGTCTATGTTTCCTGGATTAGAAACGTGGCTCCTCTCTCCTTCACTCACTACCAGTCACTTCCTCCCGTACAGTTTTCTATCTTGTCACCCCACCTTCTCCATTCCTTATTGACAAGAGTTCAAGGAATTGGCTTGGCACTGAGAATTCTCAACACTGACACTTTCCAAAACATCCACTCTCAACTCCTCCCAGAAGACCACAGGGCCCTGGTCCCCTCCTCTCCCTAGCTCGGGACACCTTGGGTTTCACATGGCTATTAAACTCCAAGGGGCCGACTGAGCCGGGAAGGAGAGTCTCCAGGACGCAAACAATGCTCCAAACATGTCCCGGGGGCCTCTTTGGATGGGACACCCCGGAGTAGAAAGGTCCTCGCTGCTCACCTGGGGTGCGGCTGTCGGAGGCCTCGGGGCCATTCCTGACTCGTCGGGGCCCGCTTCCCAGACAGGGACTGGGGAGAGAAGAGAGGGCCCACTCACCCCACTGCAACCACCGACCCCACCCCGTCCCACTGGGCCTGCCTCCGCCCCTCAGACACTTCTCCCGGGACAGGCGTGAAGAAGTGTCTGGGCCCTGCGTGGGCCTGCCGCTCTCCCTCTTCCAAATTAAAGGCTCACCGCGTCCAGGACGCCCTCCTCTGGCCACGCCCAGTGCCCTCCGGCCCCGGCAGGACGGGGGGCGCGGCAGGATGGAGGTGCCGTTAAGAGCCGCGTACTCGCGTACTCGCGTACTCGGAATCACTGCCTCTTGGAGTTTCCAGATTTTGCAACCTCAGGCCCACCCAAGGTTTGGAACGTCTCCTCCCGCCCCCGCTGCAGGCTCAGTCTTCTCCAACTGTGGTGTGTGGAGGTGCGGCCCAAAGCGGCCTTAGCCGCACCAAGGCTGGACAATGGCCTCAGCAGCGGAGGAGAGCCGGAAGTGCGCCTGCGCACGTGGAACCTTGCTCTTACATCCCCGGGTTCCTGGCGAGCGTGTGGACTACACTTCCCAGGGACCTCCGCGTGTGGGTTCTCTGAGGCCGCACGGAGGACTCCGCGCATCCTTCCGGAGGCGGCGGTGGAGTGTGCTGGGAGGACCCAGCGAGTGGGAGCTGGGTTTGAGTACTATTAGGTCCACTTCTTCCAGTAACAGTCACTTCCAGTAACAGGCACTCTTCTTGTGCCACGGGCATGTTGCTAATGGAGGGATACAGCAATATACTGAACAGAAAAGACCCTACTTTGGGGGAGCGGCTTGTACTCCTATGGACGAGGGAGACAATAAAAACGTAAACAGATCCAAAAATTTCAGGTGCTGAGTTCAGCAATAGGAATGACAGTGAAGGGGGTGGGGCAGCGTCGCAGCTTCAATACAAAATACTATTTATTTATTTGCCTCTTCTTTGCCATCTTACCGAACAATAGTTTGAGCACTGACTCACCAGACCACACCTACCACTAAGACACTCGATGAGATATTTAATGATCTTACAGAAGAGAGAAAAAAAGAACCTTCAGATAAATCTGTGGACAAAACAATGTGAGAAAGCTAACAGTGCTACTATCATATTATTTCATTCCTTGGTATTCCATTGCTCAGGATTTTGTGTTTGGGACAAGCTATAAATGATGGAAAATTTCAACCCCAAGATAGATGAAAGCCAGGTACAACTATCAGATTTATATAATTGTTTTATAGATTACAAATAATCAGTCTACACTTCCTAGACTTAGACTTAACATTAGAGTATCACATATTCACCTGGTAGAAAATGACTGCAACTTAGTGTTCCTTTTGTTACACTGCTTTATCAAGAGGATGGATGTTTAAAAAATTAAAGCTTTTTACCACTGCTGCATAAATATAATGCTCTGTAACAAGCAGAAAACATAATTCAGAAAAATGAATGAGTGGTTTAAGGAGGCCTCCCTGAGTGACTTAGTAGCTGAGACGGGGAGACAACTGCAGGAACATGAGAGAAAAGGATTCCAGGCTGAAGGCACTGAGAGTGCAGAAGGCTCAAGTTGGAAATAAGCTTGATGTGTTTTAGAAACAATGTCTAATGTAGCTGCAGGAGAGTGAGTGGAGTAGAGGCAGGACAGGTAGGCTGGGATGATTTGATTGAGCAATGTTTTGGAGGCTGTGATAAGGAGTGTGGACTTTGAGTGCGATGGGAGCCATTAGATTAGCAGCAGCAATGAATTCACTTACTACTATGAGGGAATAAGAGAAACTTTTTTCTTGTTGTCCCAGATTTGGTAACCAGGACCTAGAGCCGAGATTAAATTATTCTGCATTCTAAAGAAAGGCAAAACATTTGGGACTAGATACCCTCAGATCTTACAAACAGGGGCACCCTGCTACTATTATTAGCCATTACCTATATGTTGCCCCATTACCCCTATAAGGAGATTAGGATGGGAAAGAAAAGAATTCCAAAGAACAGTAAGGCCTCCACCTAGTGGACAGAATGTTCTACTGCTCACCCTCAAGATGAATGTGAGAAAGAAAACCATTCAAACATTGACAGCACCCAAAGAAGGGGAAGGTCTATAAACTACCCAGATGTTTCCCCAAGCAATGTTAAGGGGATTAGAGAACAGACTGAGTGTTAGGAGAGCAGCTTGAGTTTTCATTGTTTGTGTAGAAAGTGATGAACTGGAAAATAATTGGGCTTACACCTTTTGGGCCCTGGGATGGGGTGGAGCAGTTCAGAACAGTAAGAGGCTGTAGAACTAACTGGGGGAGGTGGAGGTGAAGCCAGATCTCCCAAATTAGATATCTGTAGGTTTCCTCTAAGGAACTCACAAATGCACTTCCATTTCTGCGAGTGCGGCTAAACAACTTTGATGGTGGATGAAATATAAAAATCTTCTAAAATGCATTGGTAACCTGGCCAGTGTGGCTCCGTTGTTGAATCCCATAGTCATCATCCCATAGACTGAAAGGCCATGGGTTCAATTTCCAGTCAGGGCACATACCCAGCTTGTAGGTTCAATTCCCAGTCAGGGCATACAATGTCCTGAGGTGAGGATAAAAAAAATACATTAGTGAGCTGGAAAATTCATAAGGAATGCACAGAGGCCAAAAATGAAGTAAAAGTGATAACTTATAGGGATAGCTGGAATAATGAAAACTAGTTTTCACCTGAAAGTCATTTGCCTAAGAGCTTTGTTTTTCATGGTTCTGTAGGCACAGTTACCAGGTGATGAAACTCAAGTACCATCCACACACACACACACACACACACACACACACACACGTTGCGGACCACTTTGTGTGGTAGTGGGAATTGTAGCCCAGTGTGAGCTAGGCCCTGCCTGTAAGCCTCAACTGGAAAGCCAGGAATACTGGGAGGCACATGGACAGATATCAACACTGAGGGTCCCCTGGGAGATCTGACCTAAAGAATGCAATATAATCACTGAAGCTGGCTCTGCTTCGCACTGCCCTGATAAGGAAAAACCAGATGTTTTACTTCACAGCAAGGAGATAATTTCTGAGCCTCAGAGTCATACCTTAATGAGCATCTGGTGTCAGCGTGTCTGACAGATCCTGATTTAAGACAGGTCTCTGTGCTTCTTCAATTTATTATCTAAAGCCTTTTGATATAGATTGATAAGCTTTGCATGCATGCTGTATACCCCTGCGCACGTCTCGTTCTCATTAAAAGCCACTTCAGAGAAGGGCTCGAGGCATTCTCCACTAGAGAAGATTGCCACCCCCTTCTCCTGACAGGCAAATTGTGTCTGGTACAATTTATTTCTTCTTCCATGGTGACTGGGAAGACTGCAGGACAGAGCTTCACGCACGTGCGCGTGCACAAACCCCCCTCCCCCAGTACACATTGGGACTCCAAAGGTGAACACAGGTAAATTGCCTGTTTCAAAACTTGGCATTGAGTGGAAGAAGCAGAAAACATCTTCTGTGAGAATCTGTAACCACAAGCTGGTCCTTATGTGGATTTGCAGCCTGCATTAACCGTCCCTAGGTCCTCTAAAAAGCTGCAAGCTGAGAATTTAGTTTATATATTGGTCCCAGGCTAACTGTGCTTCCAGGAATCTGGCAGAAGCAAACACAAATCCTGCCTGGAAGAACTGGCCTTCAGCCCAGGCTTTCCCAAATATGATCCCAAGAAATATGAGCTCATAGTCTTGAATTACAAAGCACATATAGAAAACAAGGACCCGTGAATGACAGAAAGCAGGAAGAAATAGCATAATAAGAACCATAACAGCCTCAAATATAGGGAGTTCTCAGACACAGAATTTACAATAGGCCTAATATGTTTCAAAAGTTACTCTAATGAACTCAAGTAGGAGTTGAGTATTGAGTAGAAAGCAAGAGCCTGAAAATATGAAACAGCCCACACTGGGTAGTTCAGTTGGTTAGAGCATCATCCTGATACACCAAGGATGCAGTTCAATCCCCAGTTAGGGCACATACAAAAATTAACCGGTGAATGCATAAATAAGTGGAACAACAAATCAATGTTTTCCTATCTCTTCCTCCCTCTCTCAAAAAAATCAATAAATAGAAAATTTTTAGATTTCTGGCCAAGATGGAGGCATAGGTAGATATACTTTGCCTCCTTGCACAACCAAAAGAAGGACAACAACAAATTTAAAAACAAAAATTAACCAGTACTGTCAGAAAATTGAGTTGAACTGTATGGAAGTCTGACAACCAAGGAGTTAAAGAAGAAACATTCATCCAGACCAGTAGAAGGGGCAGACTGGCAGCCAAGGCAGAGCAGACATGTGGCAAGGCAGCAGCTGAAGACCAGGTGAGCAAGGTGGCTGCTGGCAGACCAGGTGGTCCCACATTTGCATGCGGATACACCAAGTGGAACAGCTGGGGAGGGAGATGGACTGCTCAATCCAGGGTTCCAGTGCAGGAAAAGAAAGCCTCAAAACCTCTGTCTGTAAAAACCTGTGGGGGATGCAGCAGCAGGAGAAACTCCCAGCCTCACAGGAGTGTTCGTTGCAGAGACCCATAGGGTCTTAGAAGGTACACAAACCCACTCACGCAGGAATCAGTACTAGAAGGGCCCAATTTGCTTGTGGGTAGTGGGAAAAGTGACTTAAAGCCAGCCTAGAGCTGAGCAAGCAGCATTGTTCTCCCCCACATACAGCGTCAAAACACAGTGACTTCGGTTGCCCCACCCTGGCAAATACCTTAGGCTCTGCCCCTTCCAAGAAAACAGGCACCTGAGAAAAAGAAATATGGCCCAAATTAAAGAACAGATCAAAGCTCCAAAAATAGAACTAAGTGATGAAGACATAGCCAACCTATCAGATGCATAGTTCAAAACACTGGTAATCAGGATGCTCACAAAAATGGTTGAGTATGGTCGCAAAATGAAGGAAAAAATGAAGGCTATTGAAGGCTATGCAAAGTGAAATAAAGAAAAATATACAGGGAACTAACTGTAAAGGGAAGGAAACTGAGACTCAAATCAACAATTTGTGGCAGAAGGAAGAGAAAAACATTTGACCAGAACAGAATGAAGAAATAAGAATTCAAAAAAATGAGGAGAAGCTTAGGAACTTCTGGGACAACTTTAAACATTCCAACATCTGAATCATAGGGGTGCCAGGAGAAGAGGAAGAGCAAGAAATTGAATACTTATTTGAAAAAATAAATATTAAAAAAGCTCTGGTTGGTGTGGCTCAGTGAATTGAGTGCCAGCCTGTGAATTAAAGGGTCGCTGGTTCAATTCCCAGTCAGGGCACATGCCTGAGTTGTGGGCTGGGTCCCCAGTGTGGGGTGTGGGGGAGGCAAACACACACTGATGTTTCCTTTCCCTCTGGTTCTCCCTCCCTCCCCCTCTCTCTAAAAATAAATAAATAAAATATTAAAAAAAAAAAGAAAGAAATAATTAAGGAGACCTTCTCCAATCTGGCCAAGGAAATAGACTTCCAGGAGATCGAGGAA